TTTCAATAAGGATTATACCACAAGTATATTTTAAATTACTTGACAAAATCCATAATGTATATTTAGGAGATTAATACCTAAATTATGAAAGTCACTGAAGTATGACTCCTCTAAAAAAAGTTAATAATAGAGTCTACAGAAAAATTTTAGACATTAAAGGTTTGTTTTCTAACCTTTAAAATTGGCATTTAAATCCCTTTTCACCATCTCAGTAATATTTTTTGCCACATCACTTTCAGAAGGCACATAAACCAACTCATATACCACTGAAGAATTAATGAGGAAAGCAGGTAGTGTCAAAGGAAGAGGATCAAAAGTGGAAGCATTACGAAACTCCTTTTTTATTAGTTTACGTTCCATCAAAAGCAATACCAAAACTACAAGTATCAGGCCAATTTCCACAAGTAAACCCACTGTATTCCGCCTCTGCAAGAGAAACAAAAGGATTGTGTTAATTAACCTAAGAGTGTGTGTGTATATGTACATGTGTACTTATACTCCTGTGTGCACAAACACACACAATATAAACTTACATTATTCTGCTTTATTTTATAATAAGAATGGTTCCCTAGCTTGTCTTTCTCACCCTTTTCTATATTTCATTACTCATTCCATTAATTCACCCTCTCAGTATTCTTCAGATTTAGAACTGCTACCCTCAGCCTTGGAACAAAAGAAAAAAAATACCATAAACTAAAATGAAGGAGCTTTTTAAAAATTCCCTATTGGCTTCATTAGCTTTTATAATCATTTCCCACAGATACCTCTACTTACCTTTAAAAGCAAATTTTTCCAGAGGAGGACTACAAATTGCCTGAACCACAGCGAATCCATTTTACCACAAAAAAATGGAAGTTCAACTCTTAAAAAGGAAGTACAGATGAAAAATAATTTAGGTTACCTGCCAAAATATTAAATTTGGGTAAATACAAGGATTACTTCATTGTTCTACTCTTTTCTTCCATCAAACTTAAAAGATACTACAACAAAAAAAACTTGAAATAAGGATTTGTCTGCTCATATATATATTTTTATATTAATTCATTCAATTCATATCCAATGGGCTTCCACTATGTATAAAAACATTAGGCAGTAGAGACACAAAGAGCAATACACTGTTGCTCCACTTTCACAAAGAAAGATCTAAACTATAATTGAAGAATATCAATTATTATTTGGATAGGCTCTGAGAGAAACTCTTACAAATTACAAGGCTGTGCATCTACTACTTACTTAATGCCATATTCTGTGCTAAACATTAGATCAATTCGAAACAGTCATGATCCTTTCCTCACTGTTGTGGATAGTGTGACACAGTAATTAAAAATAATATAATTTTTTAGTTGCTGCACTAGGGATTACAAAATACAACTTTAATTTGTTTCAGTCTATTTAGAATCAATATTTTATCACTTCAATTGGAATATGGAAATTTTATGAACACAGGCTGCCTAAATTCAAACCCTAACTCT